TTGTTCTACAGTGGCTGATTGCACCAGTGCTGGACTAACTCGTCTCTGGAGGGTAATTACAGCCAAGAGACACCTGCTGCTGCAGGCTGTGGGTGAGCCAAGTGTGTCACCATCAGCACAGCACCTGGCATGTAAGTCACACCATGACACATGGCAAGCCTTTCCCTGTGGGTCATTCAGGAACATCTGTGTGGGTGCCCTGCAGCCTGGACTCTCACGAAGAAGGACCATCACTGGCATTGTTGGTTTTTCTGCTGGCCACGGGGCATAGGGTTCCCCATAGGAAGTTGTTGCATGAGGCAGGACCTTTCTTTTTCCTGCAGGTCAGCTGTTACACTGCTGTAGGTCTGCTTGAGATCTTCCCCTTGAATTGATCTTGGGCTGGAACACATGTGACTTTATGCACATATTTATACAACAAAGGGCAGCTGCTCTCCAGACTCCAGGCACTGTGCCATCCACACCACTCACACTGACTTACCAGGGCACAGTGACCCCCTCCTTCCTTCTGCCCCACCTGCCCAGCCTGTGTGGGGAGCAGGATCATGCCACGGCAAGCCTTGGTCAGGGGCTGAAGACTGGGGAAGGCAGCAGGCCCCTGGGGGTTTGCAGGGCCACACATTGAGAAGAGGAGTGAGCAGGGGCCCAGCACAGGCCTTGGCTTTTCAATGTCCCGTGTGTGCAGGAAGCTGCTTTGGGGAGGACAGCACTCTGCTGATAGCAACTGCATGACCAGGACACGGAGAGGCATCCTGGAATGGGTCAGGCAGGAGCTGTGCCAGCTCAGGGTCTCCGTAGCAGGAATGATGTCTTCTCCAATGCACTATTGGTGCAGCACCAGGCAGGATGATGGGGCTGTGTAGCCCCCAGAAGACGAGATAACACCACCAGCTGTGCCACTTTTCCCCCTCTACTAGGCCACCGGCTCCTTTTCAGTGGCGAAACCACTGCTTGGCTTTTTCTTCCCTAGTCATCTGGTTCCTTCCAGGGCCAGTATATTTCGGTGACTTCTCTGTTCCGAGCTACCCTGAGTGGCATAGGTGGTTCCTCAGGATTTGCTTTTCTCTGGAAGGTGTACAGGCTGAGAACTGTAAAGGGGAAATGCCAAGCTCTTTATTTTAAGACCCATGTGTGGAAGGAGAGACTCATGGCTCCATCAAACACCTGCACTCCATCAGCTGCCTGTGAAAGAGAACTCTGACAAGTGGGGTCAGCACATGGGATTGGGTGGAGCATTCGAATGGCAGCAATGAAGAGAGGCTTGAATAGTGAAGGAGGCACAGAGTGAAGGTTTTGTCAAGAAGACAGAGAGCTGCTCCACTCAGTGGGAGAGACCACTGGCACAATATGCCACCCCAGAGCAGATGGTGGGATGTGGGTATAAAGCACAGGGACAGAAAGAGCAGGTCAGGAGCTCCCAGCTTGCTGCAAAGAGTCTTCAGGTATCAGGATCTGGGGGAAAGTTATTCTGACTTGAAATACTGCTCCAAGTCTTAAAATTCCCAGCTCCTGGGTTTAGCCACGTCCCCTGTCCAAGAACCAGAGCGGGATGCCCTGAGGATGGCCCTGGGGGTGCAAACAGGAATGGCTGGACGAGTTGTGGAGCTGCTTGGATGTCAGAGCTGGAAACCCCATTTCTGAGCACGTCTTCCTCAAACCAAAAGGCAGCATCCTGAGCTCCCTCTAACCTTACTCCACTCTGCTCCCAGCTGTGAGCTGCTTATGTCCAATTCTGTGTGCTAAAAATACCTTTCTGGGCAGACAGCAAGTGTGCGGCCAAGCAGGAGAGGCTGGCAGTCCAGCCATGAAGGGGAGTCGGGGCATATTTGGGGTTGGTGTGGGATGCAGCACAAGGCCAGGTGTGCCTGGGTGGACTGGGTGAGGGCAGTGGACTGGCAGTTTTTGCAGAGGGATGTGCATCAAAGCAGCAGTGCCAGGACAGAGTCTTGCTTGCCTTGGGCCTGCACGTGTGTGGAGAAGGCCATGTAGGGGGGGAATGAGCAGATGGACTCAGAGAGGTGGGGAGACACTCACTGCAGAGAACAGGCAGAAGGTCCTGCTCCCTCCTCATGGTTGATGGGGTTGGGAAGGTTGCTGGAGGGTGAGGAAGAGCCCACAGCAGGGTTTGAGGCTGGGTTCTAGCTGGGATCCTGTGGGCGTTTTCCAGTTCTCCCTGGCAGAAGAGCTTCTACATTCTGGCAGCTCAGGCTGAAGCCCTGAATAAAGCAGACTCTGCATCCTGGAGAGAAAGCAGCAGCGTGTGGGGAACCAGTCCCCCAGATCACATGGGGTCATGTACAGGTGCTGTGCAGTGATCAGACCCTTGCCTAGCCTTCCATCTCACTGGGTTACCCTCCTCAGGCCTGATCCTGACCCACCACCTGCAGGATGACATCCTAGCCTGGCCTCAGCCCACCACATCTGATGAGCTATGGATACATCCCAAACTGACCTCCTCTGGGGACAGATATGGGGTAGGGGTGAAGATGAGACCCAAATATACTTCTGTTATTTTTATTCTGACACAGGAATAGATTTTACTGTAGGGGCACACAGTGACTATGTTAGGAGTTTCCACAAAGCCTGATCCTCAAAAGCCACAGCTGCTTCTCCTTTACTTGTGGTTTTGTGGATGGTTTTGAGCCGTCAGTGTTCTTCTCTATCAAAAGTAAAACTGATTGTAAATTGCAGGTGGTTTGTGTTTTTCTCTCTTCAGTCCAAAAGTCTCAGTCCTTTTAGTCCTGATCGAATGGACCTTCAGGAAACAGCCCTTCAATCACATTTACAGTCATCAAGCAGCCCCATGAGGGAAGGAGTGTGGCTGGCAAAAAGGTACACATTTGCTGCCTGCTGTAGCAGGATACCTGTATTAGAAAGCATCTGTGATGTGTTGAGATCAGTCTGTCAGACTCAGTCCTGCTGCGTGGGCTGGAGTGGTGTACGCAGAGTGTGCGCAGCCCACACGTGATGTGCTCTTGAGAGCTCAGTGAGTGGTCTCATGGATCACCTCTCGTTGATCATGCCATGCCGAGTTTGGATTCATGAGCTGTTGTGTGCCTTGATAATCCCTTGGAAAGCTTCTCTCATTTGAACTCTGCTGTGTGATTCTCAGTCAGGCATCACCAGCTGAACTAGCAGCTCCAGAGTTAGACTGTGAAGAGCGAGGCATAGGGCTGAGTGTGCTGGCTTTCAGTATTTCTTCAGCATTTTTCAAGTGGGTGCTGTACTCTAAGACAACGAATCGCATAACATGGTAACTTTCTTAGGAGGAAGAGGCCAAACACATATTGCCAGGCCTCAGTGCATTTCGGGACAGGGGAAAAGAAATAATCACATAAGCTGCAATAGGAAGCCTGCTGTGCCACATGTGCATTTTTGAAGCTTGGCTGTTTAATTTCACTGGTTCTGCTTCTTTTATATGCCAAAGAGAGGCAGTGAGAGTGTCTATGTCTAACTCTGGGATTTTATAGTGATTGCTGGCTGTGGCCCTTCTTCTGGGTGCTTGCACCATTGCTGAGTGTACCGGGCCAAGAAAAGCCTGGTTCCCAAAGCACAGGGATCTGACAAGGAAACAGGGAGGACATGACTTAGTGCTGCTGCTTTTCTTGCTGCAAGCTTGCTAGAAGACTTTACCCCATTAACCTCACTGTATGTGGCACAGCTGAACTTGAAGTACTGATGTTCCCGAATGGATCTTAGGAGAGATCTAGTTTACAGAACCCCTCAGTTGCTGCTTTACTGCAGTAATACAAAGAGATACACCAAGCACTGTCCTAAGGATGGTGGTTCCCTGGAAAGGATCTGCCCTGGAGCTCTGGGCCAACCAGTCCCAGCTTCATAGTGAAAAGCACCCTGGGTGACATCACCCAGAACACTGAGAGTGTTAGACCATGAGGTGATTGTGCTCCTCTGTCCAGAGAAACACAGAGAGAGAGAGGCTGTGTGAGAAAGAGGAGCTGCCCAGGAGAGCTGCCAGAGCACAGGGAGTCAGGACTCATGGAAGCTTGAGGCCATGTAACAGTGTGTGGGCTGGAAAGGCGCCCAGAGAAGATCTTGTGGTGACATCTGGAGCAACAGGAGACTGGGGGAGCGCGAGCAACCAACCTTGGGGTTACAAATCAAAATGGAGAGCACTTAGACAATTTTCTCCTATACTCAAAGACCCTGCCTGATCTCGGCTGTGATAGGAACAAGACTTTTCCATCCAGCTCCAGAAGACCCTCTTACTCCCTGTACTGTGTGCACTATCCATTCTGAGACATTTCACATCCTACAAGACACTGACAAAGTGTCGGTCAGAGTAGGGTAGAAGGAAAGGTTTGGAGGAGAAGGGGAATAAAAACACTTCCCGGTTCAGGAGTTTGTCAGATCTGGAAGGTCTACTGGTGGGGTTCAACAGCAAGAATGTTGCAGCTGCATCAGTTCAAGGTAATAAGAAGAGGGATTTTTGGAAGTATTTAACAGATATGTAGATGTGGCACTTACGAACATGTTTTAGTGGTGAACTTAACGTGCTGGGTTAATGGTTGGACTCGATGAGTCCAAAAGTCCAAAAAGTCTTTTCTAACCCAAATGATTCTATGATTTCAAGGCAAAATTGATGCATGATGAGAGCACCTTGGTGTGACCTTAGGCACATGAGTCATGAGGGTGATCCTTAAGATTCTTTGCTGGATCTGGAGGGAGAGAGAAGAGAGATAGACACGAGAAGGTTTTGGAGGTGCTCATGGGAGCAGGGCTATGGGAGTCTGAGGTAGCCAGCAAAAACTCTGGACCAAGGTGCCCAGGAGACCCCATCCCACTGTCTGTGGGAAGATGGGTGAGAAGCAGCCCTGTGGCTGGTGCAAGGTTCCCTTTCCAAAGAGGAAGCTCCTTGCACCACATGTGATTTCCCTTCGTGTCTGTTTCATTTCTGTGTGAGCACCTCTCCTGCGCTGGCTTACAGAGATACCTTTCCTGAGCGCCTCAGACTGAGTCCTGCCTGGGGACTTCGTGCCAGCATGGCCCTGCAAGGGCTGGCTCTGGCATTTCTCCTGGTTCTTGCTCCTCTGCTGCTTGCACGGGGACAGATGGACTACGATCATATGGATCCAAGGGTACATAAGGAAGCAGGTAAGAGCTGATTGTGCCCCTCTCTTACAGAAGTGGTTCTGCTGCTCCTCTACCTGCACATTTGCTACGCAGCTTTACCCTGTTCAGCCCACAGAGACTGTGTTAGGAGGGCTGAAGCTGGCATCTACATCAGAGACACTCGGGCATCCTTTGTGTTGTGGTGGGGTGAAGCTCTGTTTGGGATGGAGGGCAGCAAGCCTCAGTGTGCTGGGAAAGCTTCCATGACCACAGAAGCTGTAGTATCCCTTCGGGAAGTGTCCCTGGGAGCCGGAGGTGGCTGGTTCTTCTTATGCAGCAGATAGATGAATCTGAAGTAATCAGAGCAGTGGTGGCCTTTCTGGGCAATCTGAGCAGCATCCCTGTCACAGAGGAAGGTGGTGGTGTTCATCAAAGATGTGGGGAGCTGTAACATGATTCTCTGTGTTAGCTGGGATGCCTGCTCTCTTCCATAGTCCCTGGGGTTGAGGGAACTGTGGTTTGATGGGATTGTTCAGATTATGAGGCTTGTTCTGCTCTTTCTCCATGCCAGAAGGGCTCAGGGCACCTCCTGGGTCTCTGCTGGGCTCTTCCTACAAAGAATGTGGGCTTTCCTACAGTGACTATGTGCTGTGGCCTGGGGTTGCCAGTACCTGTTGAGATCCCCAAGGGGTACAGCAGGAGCGACTGCTCTTTGCACCGGGGCTGGTGGATCTGAGCTGTGAGTCATTCTCTCCACAGGGAGATGGAAGCAGAAGTGGCTTGCCAAGTCATTGGGTCATGAGTCATGCTGCCCATCACTGGTGGCTGGAGGGATGCTGCCATTCCAGCAATGGGCATCTCTCAGCTATCCAGGGCAGGTTGGAGCCAGTTCCCCTCGAGTCAGCAGCAGCTTCTGCCCCCCTCTCCCATTTCCTGCAGCCCATCTCTGAGAATAACTCAATAATCACAGCTCTCCCTTTCTTAACCTGAGGAGTCCCAGCTGGAGGAGGCTGTGATGGGCTTGGGTAGAAGCATTAGCTCTGAGCAGCTGGGGGAAATTTCTTTGATCTATGTCTGCAGAAGAGGTGTGAGGCATCAAACTGAGGTTCTGGCCTCCTCCTCTACTGTGCCACTCGCTTCTGGTACTGCAGCACTGGAGGAGGGCACTGGAATGTGGATTACGGCTACCCAGCAAAGCTTGCCTCCACCTGCCCTGATGGGAAAGCCCTGGTGCAAATCCAAGTCCCCACAAGGGCTTTTGCTGCAGCTGGTGCTCTTCAAGTGTCATCAAGGAACCACGTCTGCCATAGACATGTGCTCTTTTCACTTTGTGTCCTGTGTCCTTGCTCTTCAGCAATGGCCATGCACATCTGAACAATCCACGTGTATTTTCTAGGCCAGACCTAGACAGTGGCCATTGCTTGCTGACAGTGCCTATGGCCTGGTTTTGTTGACCTTCCTCTCCCCACTGAGGTCTGCATGAGCCAGCCATTGCTCTCATTTGCTACATCCCCTCCTGTGCCTTGGCCTCGCTAGGTGTACTCTCACTGGCTCTTCTGGTTGAGTGCTACCTGCTTGTCACTGTGTCCTCTTGCACTGCATGTCATTGTCAGCCTCCTGACTGAGCCAGGCTGTACTCTTACTACATTCTCCATCCTCCTGTGTAAGGGTGTTTCTGCCCAGCCTTTCAGGTTGTGAAGCATCATGGGGACACCCAGCCCTCAGAATTTGTTTTCTGACAAGTACGTATAAGTAAAAACATTCTTCCCCACAGGTAGAAATCTGCTCTTTGGTGTGTGGTTTGGTTTCGCAGTACAGAGGGATTTCTTCCCTGGTGTCCCTGGTAAAACACTTGGTGCTGGACAGGCAGCCTGGACTCTGCTGGGGTGGGAAGGATCATAGAATGGTTTGTGTTGGAAAGGACCTTAAAGATCATCTCATTCTAACCCCTCTGCCATGGGCAGGGACACCTTCCACTAGACAGGTTGCTCAGAGCCCCATCCAACCTGGCCTTGAACACTGCCAGGGATGGGACATCCACAGCTTTTCTGGGCAACCTGTTCCAGAGCCTCACCACCCTCAGAGTAAATAATTGCTTCCTAATATCTAATCTAAATATCCAATCTTTTAGTTTAAAACTATTCCTCCTTGTCCTATTACTATCTTTCCATGTACAAAGTCTCTCTTCCTCTTTTTTGTAAGCCCCCCTTAGTTATTGGGAGGCCACAATGAGGTCTCCCTGCATCCTTTCCTTCTCCAGGATGAACAACCCCCACTCTCTCAGCCTGACTTTACAGTGCTTCAGCCCTGTGATCATCTTTGTGGCCTCCTCTGGAGTCACTCTTACAGGTCCATGCCCTTCTTAGGTTGGGATCCTCAGGGCAGGATGCAGAGGACAGAGTGGAGAGGAAGAATATCCTCCCTCATCTTTCTGTCCATGCTGCTTTGGACTCAATTGGTTTCTGGGCCGTGAGTGCACATGGCCAGGTCATGTCCAGCTTCTCATCCATCAGCACTCCCAAGCCCTTCTCAGCAGGGCTGCTCTCAATGAGTTCCTCTCCTAGTCTGCACTCGTGTCTGGGACTGACCCAAAAGGAGCCTGGATGTCACCTTGGGGCAGGAGTGCGAGGATGTGTGTTACTTCATGGGGGTTTAATGACAGCAGGGGGGAAGGTGTGTGATGGGGATGCCTAATGAGGCCAAGACCAAGTCAAGAGTTTCAGGTCTCTCAAGTGTTTTGTCTGTCACAGTGAAATGTGTGATCTGAGGGCACTGGGAGAGATTCAGCCGTGGGGGAAGAAGTTTCATGTCTGCACCATGCGTGTGATGTCTAAAAGGATGGGGCTGGTGACCACGGTCCTTTGTGGTGGAGAGCTCGAAGCAGGGTAGAGGTGATGGCATGAAAACCTGCTGCCAGATAAGGGAAGTGGTGACACCTCTGTTCTGGTGTAAAGTAGTGCAGGCCCATGAGTGCTGGCTGGCAGGAAGTGGGGAGCTGTAGAGACACATGTAGCTGAAGAGAGGTGTTTCATCCTCCTTCAGAGAAGGCCACCTCCATCCCTGATGCCTCCTCACAGACTCGTTTTGCATTGAGTGAGCAAGTCTAGGTGACGTGTCTACCAGGGCAGCACAAGGCAGACTCATTCTGGGTGAAGTGCAGAGTCAAGCCCAAGTGCATGGAGCAGGGTGAGCTTTGGGGCCAGTGGTGTGAACATAGGTGGTCTGAGGGTACACTGAGTGTGTTGTCCTGAAACCTTCTTTCCTCCAGTGTGGAAAAAGCTGATCCACACAAAGAGTCAAGGTATTTGATTTATTTACAGTTCTGCAGAGAAAGGTGTGCTAAGTGGCAAGTCCACACAGCCAGCACCCCGAGGCACACAAAAGCAGGTAACACAGTTACAATCTTAGGCTATTAGCATATCTTACTTAAGTCACTACTTGGCTAAATTGCTATGGCTCATCCTTTCCTCTCTTCAGTGTAAAGGCATAGTGTCCCAATAAATCATGGAGCATGCTTGGTGAGTGGTGGTATTTTTGAGGCCAGGAGGTATATGATCTTAGGATGTGGATTTGTTACCATTATAAAGAGCAAAATTTCATCACTAGGGCAAGTTCTCACAACAAAACTCTTTGTTAGCTCATCATTAAACATCCTACATAAGAAGGGTGTTATATATGTTTTTGTTCTCCCCCTTCAAGCACGTAGACAATTTATTTTCTGTTTTCTTCATTCCTGTGTTTATTGCTTACATTGCTGAACTGCTTTGTTCTTTCTCTTGCTACCTTGAAAGTCTACACCTGTTATTCACCATTGCTGCTGGCTGCCATCTCATGGGACCAAGTCAGGGCAGTCTGCAGTGGCAGCAGAGACCCACTGGGTCTGGTGCACTCTCACAGCCCCTGGACTTGGGAGAGAGAGCACAGGAGAGAGCAGCAGCCACCAGGCTGCTGGATCCCTCTGGCTGGGGTCCCCCCACAGCACAGGAGTGGGCAGGAGGGCCTGTGGATAACCCTCCTGCACTGCACCTGAGAGTGCAAGGAGGGATAATGCACCTGGGCTCTGGGGCCTCATCCTGGGAGGTGCCATCTCTGCCACCCCTCTGAAGGGAGGGGGACCAGCAGCCCTCTGGACGGGACCCCCTCACCCCTGAGGTTGCTGCC